TTCCCAGGCTGCTGGTTGCAAAGCCGGCTGCTTCTCAGCATTCGAGTCGCAGCTTAAATTTCATTTTCTCAGGGAGACCTTCCTGATCACCTGCCAGGGGTGGTCCCTCCCAGCCCTCTCTGCCACATCACCTGGTTTCGTTCCTTGCTGGGACGCCTCACTCTCTCAGGTACTCGTGTCCATCATTGGTTTCCTGGGGTGTGAGCATCTGCCTCTCCCCCCGGACCATTACCCCCAAGTTCTCCACTCCACCCTCGGCCACCGGACCACCACACGGTTGACCTTCCTGGAATCACAGAACTTGGACGACTACACCTGAGTTCATATTAGAACCTGGTTCCTGATTTCCTGCTCTGTTCTACATTCCTCTTGTCCTCAAATGGGGCAGCCAGCCCTGGGCCCATGGAAATGGGGTGTGAGCCCCCGGCGGGCAGCGGTGGGGGGCAGAGAGGCTCTGCCACTGGTCCAGCAGCTGCCCTCCCACTTCCTGTGTGTGACCCCAGCCCCACAGCAGGGCCGCCCCAGGAGGAGGGAGGGCAGGTGAAAGACTTGATGTCATCCCCAAGGCCGGGAACATTGTCTGTCCACAGACACTTCCCAAGCCAGACTCCCTTGACTCCTGCATTCCCCACCCTTGGAGCCACTCCTATGAGCCAGACGTCTCTGTAACAGTACAAACAGCCACCACGTGGCAGGTCTTCAAATCCAAGAATGTAGATCTTACCCAGAGAAGCATGTGGACGGGCGTGTTCCTCCTCAGATGGGATTCCAAGAGGCTAGAACTCAAAGGGATGGTTTGTGTAGAGGCCTCGGGGGCTGCAGGATGAAAGGCCCCAGGTCCAGGTCTCTGCATCAGTCTGGAGGTGTCTCCTCGTCCAGACCTGGTCCAGCAGGAGCCAGCCTGGCGGACGTCAGCGAGCGTGCCTGCATGCCAGGATGTCTGCTCCACGTCTACTGCACAAATGTCAGATCTGAGAACCTGGCCTGGGCGGGAGCTGAGGTCCACCATCATTCCAAGGGGTCCAAGTTCATGGTTTGAAGAGTTTAGAGGAGGAGAGAGGGCTTTGGGGAGCTCAGAGGCCAAAGTAGCAGCCAGTGCAGTGAAGGAAGTGGGGGGGAGTGATTTTAACTAAAACAGAAGGAGTAGGAGAGCAAGCTTCCTAAACGTCTTCATCTCAGTAGTCGTCCTGCAGGGACAGGACATGGGCCAGAACACGCTCCGGCTCTTCCTTCTGGTCTGTCATCTCCTCTCCCGCCTCGCTCTTACCTGCAGTCGGCAATAGGCAAGGACTTCTCTCTTTCCCTCCATCAGTTCAGCCACTTGCTTGATATAAGCTGGGAACTACAACACGTTGTTAGTATGTATTAAGTGCCAATTACTGCCTCAAAACACACAATCAGGAAATCTGAATATATATTATTTTGCAAATATGAAGTCTCATAGGAATGCTACGTAATTATGACCTCATGGGATTTGAGACACAAGGATCAAGTGTGCGTTCAAAAACAAAATCCACTTTTTCCTGTTGGGTTACAGAGACGGCATCTCACACAGCCAGCCAGCCATCTAGGGAACTGGCTAATCGTGAACTGTGCTCCTGAAAGTAGAAAAGCCAGGACTTTGCGGAAGCCAGAGCCACTCATGCCATTTGCAGAAGGACGATAACCGATCCTCTCCCCAATCCTTTAGACACCAGCGTTGAACTCCACCTGGGGAGAAGGGGAGCCGAGGGCTGAGCGTAAGCCTACTCCATAAATCGTTCGCTTATAAAGTTCTGCAACCAAGTTCCTTGACCATAACGCAGGCAGGATCCAAGGAGCCCATCTAGACCAAACAACAAAGTACGCCTGGGTGACAGACGTCCCCAGCAGGGCAGCTCCATGTTCGCAGTGAGTCCAGATGGCTGACTATACTCTCTCCTGCAGAACTTGAAGATAAAGCAGTTCACCTCTGCTCCTTTTCTGGGGCTGTAGAACGAACCCATTTTATAAATGAACAAGCAGAAAGCTTCCTCCGTGGCGTCCCGTGGGCTCTTCTTCCTGTCCTAGCCCAAAGGAAGTTCAGTATGATCTACTGCTCCCCGGGGGCTGGGGCACTGACATCACAGACACCACAGTCATTACTGTCAAAATTTATCAGTGTGTTATATTCGTAAAGACATAACCTGTATTCTCTGATTTTGTCTTCGTGCCGATCCTTAAAGGTAGATGTTGTTAAACCTGCTTCAGCCAGAGATTCAGTAGCAGGCTGAGGGGCCCGTGGAGCTGGATGCAAGGCTGTTTGGCCCAACACGAACATTGATGTGCCCACGGCCTTGGCCCCTAGGGATGCTCTTGTTTGGTCCCAGTTGGCTTCGTCAGGACTCACCTACTCTTCAAACCCTGGTTCAGAGGAAAGTGATTGTATGCACTAAACTGAGGAATTTTCAGAGATAAAAATGCAACACAGGCAAATAAACAGTCTTTACTCAAAAGTATCAAAACTCAGCATGTTTCACCTGTCAGCATTTCCGACAAGCTTTAGTTTCAATTCTTGTGCAAACCCAATTTTGCTGCTATGGCAGATTAAATGGCCACATTTTCATTTTGTCCCCACAATTTAGATAACTCTCCTTTCCTTACCACACCACCAAACTTCTGATTGGACTTTAGCAAAACCCAGAACACTAGTAAAAATGGAGTTAGGAGAACTTGAATATTTTGCAGGCTGTGCTCTGCATTAATACAGCTGGTGGCAAAGTGGAGGTCTCCTGCCACATTTAACTAACTAGTGTAGACGTGATAAAAGTTGATAGTCAGAGCTTTGAAAGATGTTGCAGGGTTATTTTAAACTGCAACAGTTGTAAAAGGCTTGAAGCTTTTTATACAGCAGTTAACTCAGTTCAGCCCAACAGATTGCTTTGATTTGTTCATTAAATATATTATTTTTGCATTAATTGAGCTCATTTGATGAGCAAGAATTTCACTCAATAAAATTTCCAGCTAATGGCTTAGAAAACTATTAGATTCTGTACCCAATAATTCATCTTAGAATTTTCAAAGAGTAGAGAGTTTAGCTGAGATAAATCACAGATAATCGAGGAATCATTTGATGTGCAGAAATGGTTGATGTGTTTTTTTCACTGGAAGCATCATTAGTGTGTTTATCTATTTAATTATTTTCTGCAGGGGAACAAAGGGTCCATCAGGGCCAGGAAGGTCTTTTCCTTCGTCTGTGTAGCTATTCGTCTAAAACGATGTAACCAGACTTTGTTGTGATGGCGATCACCAGAGGACACATGCAGGCTTCTGAGTTCTGAGTTCATTATAAAGATGAAAGTTCTAACAAAGATAATTTGAGAAGTACATCTCCCCATAATTTACTGCATTTGCCGAGAAAACTTGTTAGAAATCAGAGATTTCTTTTTTCATATTTGTAACTCAATTGCCAAAAAAAATTTAGAACAACAAATGGTTTGTATCATTAATATTTCTTGGAAGTGGAAAACCATGATAGCAGCTGTCATTCTGGCCCATTTTTTAAAGTTTTCGGCATTAGTCGAAAAGCAGTAAAATTATTTCCAGTAGGTTTGTATCACTCCTAAAAGCAGCAATAATTCCTTTCCAATTGAAATCATTTATTTGCCTGACTGAAAATTACCATTTAGCTATGTAAGGAATGATATTAAACAAAATTTAGGTATTCAATGAAATAGGATAATCTGTGGGAAAAAGAAAGTTTTCTCAAATTTAAGGGTAATCCAAGTAAATCAAGGAGGATTTTGGAAAAGGGATGGAGGACCCTGTGTATAGTTATACTCGGCCTTTCCGAATCCATGTAAATTCTATCTCCATGGATAAGAACCCACAGGTTTGTAAATGGTAAGTAAAGAATGTGAATTAGATAAATTATGGACATTTAACATACAATTTATTTGGAACTGAATTTGCTTATATTGTATCTGGATTCAGTAAACACACATAGTAATTTATTCATTCATTCATCCCTTTTACAAACATTCAATTTGTTGATGCCAATGAACAAGGTTTATTACATAAGTGGTGTGAACCTGTCCTTCAGGAGGCGGTAAAATATAGGAAAACTAGTGACATAAAACACTTCCTGAGGGTTCTAGAGTGATATGTAAGTGAGGTGGAGCTTACCGACCAGTCATTCCAGGAATTCAAAAGAAGGACAGATGATGCGGAGCAACCTCACAGAGGGAGCAAATCCCAGACTCGCCTTGGAAAAGGGTGCGGTTGGACTTACCCAGAGGGAGGGGGGTGCATATTCCTATGGGAAATTTTAAAGACGTGGATGAAACCTGCCCACACTGGGGTTTGAAAGAAATCCTAGTCTGAGTGGAGCAGAAGCTCTTGTTCGGAAGGAGCAAAATAGCTCAAGATTAACTTCGTAAGGAAGAGCAGATGCAGAGGGCCCAGACGGCCAGGAACTTGAATTTGATCCATCAGCCAACATGGGAATGTTGGTTCTTAATCAGGAGAGAAGGTGATTAGGAAAGTTAATCTGAGGGCATATTAGGAAGAAGAGAGTTTGAGAAACCAAATCGACTGTTACTACAACCCAGGGTGGGCCAGGTAGAAGCTGCGTAACTGGGTTTATCACCTGGACTCACCGGCACTACGCAGTGGCAAACTGAACACAGAAAGGACGATCCAGAGAGGACGCTGGTCTCCTGAGCCCAGAGTCAGGGCTCGCACTACTGGTGGAGTCAGCACTTTCCTCTTGGGGCCACTTGCAGGCCGCCACACAGCATTAGGTTCCACCAAGGACTAACCAAGAATCTTAAGATACACCTTCTGGAAGGAACTCTAGAGATTCCCCTGGTCTTCATGGGCCCAGGGGATCCTTGAACGTTGATTCATAAACTTCCCTTTGGCCCTTTTAAAAGATATACACAGACCATCCGATACCTACAAGATGCCTGCTTTTTACCTTCTCGCCCTCTTCCTCCTGTTCTGCAGTTACCGGTTTTCCCAGCACCTCTGCTCTGACTTACCGGGGTACCTTCCACACGTAGCAACGGCACCCAGGATGGTGGCACTCAGGCTGCTTTTCTGTCCTGTGCACGTTAAAGCCTTCTGATTTCCTCATCTGTAAGGCTGCACAGCTGATACCTACAGAGCGAGAAATAAGTCATAAGTGCTCATAAAGGGGGGAGGGATGGACCGTGAAGTTAATCCTAGAATTTCCTGTAGTCCTCACATACTATACCACATGGGGGGAAAAAAGTCCTGAAAATCAGTCAGCCTTGATTTTGGTAAATGATGTCATTATTTCAAGGACTTATAAAGAAGGAAAGATAACATGATAGTCTGTATCATCAAAATGAAGCTAAGATGAACAGCTTGCTGCCCTGTGAAATACGAATTGATTGCTTGCAGGGAGTAGAATCTCTCCCTCGATGTGTATTCACCGGGACCCTCTCTCCTGATGGTGTTCCTTCTCCCTGGGGTTCAGTTAGGAAGGCAGAGTTTCTGCTGCCGTGTGCCCGCCCGTGTTGACACAGGATGCTTGGACCTCTCTGTCTGGATCTTCCATCACCAGCTCGCTGTACTTCAGCAGACGCCACGCCTCCCACAGCTCCTCTTTCGCACGTCCCAGAGTCCCGGACGGCTCGTGTCACTCGCCTAAGTGACTTCAGCTCCTGAAGCTCAGTTTGCTCCTCTGTGCTGCGACAGTAATAGTATCCAGCTCATAGGGCTATTCTTAGTTTTAAATGGCACGATGCTGGTATCATGATTGTTATTATTACTCCACCAGGAGATAAGCCAGCAGGGAATAGATTTAGAACGAGAGCTGGACTTGAAGGCTCTGCTTCTTTTAGACACCGTCTGTTCATTGAACCATGTTGGCCAACAAGAAAAGGGATACGCTTCCGCCTCACAACTTTGAATTCAGCTTGATTCCGTGGCCGCCAAACCTACTGTCGTGATTATCTTGTAGACGGATAAACTGGTGAACCCACCTATTTCTCTCAGTATAACTTCCAATTCAAAATAGTCAGTAATCAGAGATAAACCTAACTTGCCTTTTTCTAGGCAAATTATTGTCAACTGGATATAAAAAAAATCAACCCATATATTTGGTCTTTATTCTAATAAATTAAAATCTATATAGACTTATTGAAGTAGCAGAATAGAATAATTTTAGTAGCGCGTCAACAATTAGAGATTTTGACAGTGTTCTCTTTCTAAACTAGAACTAACTATATGAACATTGGTCCTTCCGGGTTTTTTTAGAACTTGATTTGAAGGCTGAATTTGATGCTTATGAGATTTGTGGCTTACTTTGAAGAATTATACAGTTGCTTTGCAATTATCTTTTCAGCTGAAACAGAACACATCCATTGACTAACCATCGTTTCCAAATCTTGTCCCAAAGTTGTGTTGTGATATTATATAAGGTAATGTTAAGTTGGGTAGGAATCAAAGTTCAGTCCCTTCTTTATACAAGGACAGTAACTGAGATTCAGAGAAATTAGATAACTTGTCCGTAGTTAACTATCTAGTGAGTTATCGAACATTGCAGATACTGAGGTTTGAAAAAGTATATTGCCAAGTTATTTGCCTTTGAAAGTCAATGTTTTCCCCACTATATTGCAACACTCCAATGTCACCATTGTTAATTTCCTACAGAACAAATCCACTTTGCAGTTGGAAAATGGTAATTGTTTAGAAATCTTCATTGTCTATCTGGAGGAACATTTAAATATTTAATTGACAATTGGGCCAAGATCCATGATCTGTTCAGTTTCTTAGGTGATCACTGCCCTCATTGAGAGATGAAAACCTTTCTTTGAGCTTTCAAAACTGTGATGGCTCAGAGACCTCTTGCTTTGGTCACCCAGCTCCAGTGTCAAAAGGAGACGGAGAGAGACAGACATCTAGTTGGGAATTGAGGTCTTGCTTGAAAGCTTTTATCTTCAGAGGAAAGAAATCTTGTGAATTCATTAATGCCAACAAGATCTGAGGAGACTTGGAGTGTTCAAGCCCTTGGGCATCTCTGGCATGACATATGCTCTGGTTATTATAAGTTTTTGGTTGCAAAACCATTGCAACTTCGATTCACACCCGCCATGAGCCAACACTCTGGAAATAGCCATTGTACAGTCAGACTTAAGGGTATGAGGAGAACCACCACTTTCCAAGAAAACATGAAGCCAGCCACGGAGGCCATGACTGAGCCTGGGCCAGGCAGGGACCCACGCAGAATTCTGAACGAGGAGACACGTTATCGTTAAGGAACAATAATGAGTCTCCTCAAAGTAACGTAGCAAAGCTGAAAGAAGAAAGTGAAAAAAAGCGTTTCTTTGGGATTCTAAAAGCAGATCAGCTCAAAACATCTCCCCAAAAGGCTTCTTCTCTTATTCAGTGTAGAAAATGAATTTTGTCCTAGCTTGTCTCCCCCTCGTCCCCACCCCTCCCTTCCCTCATCTCCAGAAAGAGTCCGACTGGAATTCACAATTGTTTCCACTGTAATTTTCCAAACTTTATGGGACCAAAGCCCCTTTATTCCAAAACAGGTAGTGCTATTTCTATAAAGTAAATTGAGCCCAAGCTAACCCCAAATAAACAGATATTTCTGGCAAAACAAATGTTGACAATTTAATGTAGGTCTTAAACTGAAAAATTCCTTAAAAGACAAAATACATCCATGTGTCTTTTCTCCCTTTCTTGACTCAGATTAAAAAGAGAAAAAAAAAAAAACTCAAAGCAACTGTATATATTATGAATTATCTTTTTAATGAATTTTTTTCTAATGATAAGAGTCATTTTTTTTATAAATGTCTTTTGGAAAATGTTAGTTTTGTTCCACTAAAACTAACATGTCTGCTTAAATGCCCTGTTAGCAGGACAGGGAATTACTGTTTGGGGATCATCTCCATCTTATAGCTGCTAAATCCACTAAACTCAAAGGGAAAAATTGTTCAGAATCATCCAACAGAAAATCTGTGATGATTTAATGTGATAAGAAACACCTTTTAACAATAACGTTTGCAGTAGATTCCATATACACACCCCTACCAGGACCTAAATGCAGGCCCCCAGGGCTTTCTTTCTTTCCCCAGTAGATGACATCACTGAAACCCAGGCAGGGAACACTGCTGTGACCGGTGACTTCCCAGGTGACAGGTCTTGACAGGTAAAACTTCTTTCAGTTCAGCTTTAAATCTTTTGAAGTGTTTCAGTTCAGCATTTGAGGAACCAAAAAAATGCCTTTTCTGATCCGGAAAGAAATGATTTAGTTTCTTCTGTTAGTGTTTTTTTCAATTCCACTCAGCATTGCTTAAGGGGGATTGCCCCCACCTGGCTGGGTACACACCGAAGGACCAGAGTCCTTGCTCCAAGCCGAGCTCGCCAGCAGCTCACCTGGGGAGCTGCTGGACAGGTGTGTTCTCTGCAAGTCGCTTTATATTGATGGATGCTCTCATGCTGAGAAAAGCTTCGGGCTGGACTTGGCCTGGATTCACGTTCAAATACCGTGTATGCAAAGTGCCCACACTTGACAGCACATCAGAGCCCACACACAAATGGCCAGAGAAGGAAGCGGTAGACCAAAGGAGGGTGCAGCCAAACCGTGACGCGTCAGCAGCGATTTATCTCACAGCCTTGGTTTTACAGCTGCCGTTAGGCCCTGGGTGCGATGAGGGAGCCGCTCTGCCCAGCTCACTGCCAGGTGCTGCCACAGGCTGCGGTGAATGCTGGGCCGCCAGGCTGTCCTCGTGTTTGTTGCAATAGCTGCTCTTTCCCCAGTTGTTTAAAGGGCCTCTGCACACTTTAGAGGTGACGTGAGCCATTGTGGTTACTGAGCACGACGAGCTACGTCACAAATTCAGAGCTTCCAAAATTTCAGGCAGTATTTCACGTGAAGGAAGGCTGGTTACGGTAGTCTGGGCGTCACTTGAGTCATCCCTGATCGTTTCCTGATTCACTCAGGTGGCTTGTCATTGAGTTTCCCAAGCTCATTTTTCCTTTAAGAATGTTTGGTTCTTTCGTTCTGAAAGGCACCCAAGTCACCAAGTCAGGACGACAGGTGGAGGCCGGCGGGGCGCCTTCCTTCCGGCAAACCCCCGCCCCTCCGCGGTGTGGTCCAGCTGGGAGCCACAAAGCCAGCGGAAACACTCTTTCTCCCCACATCGTGCCTCCTGATCGTCTTAGCCTCGATCGGAAGTATAGGTAGATGTTATCAATTATTTCATCCCTCGGTGCCCGCTGAATAATTCTTCCAGTGTGCTGGCTGAGCAACCCGCGCTCAGCAATGACGTGTTTTACATTTCCGATGCCTGAAATAATGCTTTCATGTCCCAGTAACTTCTTTGTTTATTACTGTTCATGTAACAGCATCTATACATTTAACATTTAAGAGTATTTATCAAAAACATTGGAATTAAAAAAGATCCAAATTTGAATGTAGGCTCCTTAAGCTTCCCATGGCTGAACACCCGTTCTCCCGCTGCTCTTCCTGTGCTAAGATACGAGGGCTTGAGCGTCTGACTGAAACACAGACCGAGTTCCTTCAGGGCAGTTTCCAGGGGCAGCCCTAGCAGCAGGGGCGAGGCCTCCTGCACTGGCTCTCCCGGCAGGCAGGCGTGGTCACTGCACCCCGGAGGGACGGCGGCCAGCTAGGCTCCCGCAGGTGATAAGCTCCCCGAAGGCAAGGGCCTTTTGTCCCTGTATCGCATTCCCCTGAAGTACCTGGCGCTGTGCTCAGCCTACAAAGACATCACCCTTCAACACAGCCACATGATGCCGTCGGTGCCACCCTCAGCAATAACTCTGGAAGACCATGCCCTCGTCACCAAAAGTGTCCTTTATTCCACTTTGCTTTTGGTTTTTTCCTTTTTCCTGTAATAATAGTAACTAAAGAAAGGAAAAAAATAAAGCTTCTCCACAGTCTAGAAATTGCAAAAATGCAAAAATCAAAATTCTGCATGATAGGCATCTGCTGCTGGCCCACGTCCACTGCACTGCAGATGTGTAGCTATGTGAAATGTATGCGCATCTGATGCAGCCTCCTTTGCGGGGGCCCTGGGTGACTAGTGTCACGATGGTCACTTCACTATGATGAGCTGAAACGCTGCCAGTGACAGACACCAGACTGGGATATATACGTGTCCCCAGTGCTGACCAAAATGGCATCTAGAAAGGGAAAGAATGCAGCTTAGGACTGTTTGACGGGGGTTAGATAGGAAAGGAGTATGCACATGCGTAAACATACTGCCTGCATAATGAAAACCACTTCAACGTGCAGAACAGTAACTGTACTTGAAATAACCCCTAACCAAGAACAACTTTCAAGCACTGGTTGGTTGCCTCCTGCACTCAAGGATCTCTGGGAAGAGAAGGGAGAGCCCTTGTTCTGGCCCATGTGCATATCATCCCTTCAGAAATGCGAAGTCTGGTTTAAACCGTCATTACAGTCCTATTTGTTTGGTTATAAATAAAACGTACCTTCTCCATCACCCATGTATCTTTCTAGCTCCTGGACGTTAAAGAGACTCCTGGCTTCCTGAATTGAAATGCCATCTTCCTAATCAGAACTGACCATTGTACATCACCATCTGGGTGGTGTTTTTTTTTTTAAGCGCCCTATTCTCACAAGTGTATTTTCCAACAGTGTCATACGTATTTAAAATGGGGGCTCAAGCTAATCACCTTAAGCTCAGATTCTTAAAGAAACTGACAATATAGCAGTTTTGAAATGGAGACCACACTGCTCACCTGCCTCTCAACGTGGCTTGGCACAAAACTGTGCCCGTCACGACAACGCTCAGATAAGGGAGGTGATCCTTTGTGGTCTTTGTTCTACTCCAGTGATACACATTCTGCAACCACAAAATATTCCAACTCCAACTCGCTTTTGAATAAGCAACTTTTATTCTGTTCTGTTCTTTTTATCATTTGGTTTATACACTGTCGAGGGGGAAAGCTGCATAGTTTCCTTACTCCTACAGTCAAATATTTTTTTAAAAAGTAAGAATAGGTTATTATTGAAATAAAATGTGGCTTGTCATTACAGCATTCTGGAAGGCAGTGGAAAAAGCAGGGTGTGTTAAGCTTTCCATTGTGTGCAGACTTTCCAACCCCCTCTGCCTCCATCAGGAAAATATGTCTGTCCCGTGATCTATTCAGTTCTTGACCTTTTGACTAATATGCCAACAAAAGGCACCATTTATTAGTGATTAATTTACTCATCTTTGTCCATAAGGACCCGGATCAAGGCTGTCACAGCTCAACACCATCACCAACTACGTTTCCCATGTGTCCCCAGGGGGTTTGTCCCACAGGCTTGGCTGGGCTGTGCCTACACTGGTCCTACCACCTTCTCCCTGTGTCCACCTCTTTCGTGACCAGGAGGACTTTATCAGGACTATCATCTGAGGGAAGAAGCCCTCAACGCTGAGCCAGAGACACCTGCTGGCCTTTCTCTGCTGCCCCGATTGGAATCCCAGGAAGCTGTAGTTGCTCCTGACACGCACCTTCCTTCCAGATCTCCCTTGTCACACATGTTATCTGTCCCTGTCCCTGCTGGCCCTTCTCAGCATGTTGCCTTGGTCCCTCCCCTCCTCTGGACTCTCTTTCATAACATTTTTTCTTCACACCTGTCACCCGTATCACCCCTCCTCCCCCCTCCACACACACACACACACACACACACACATACACACACACAAGCT